GCAGAGGGCAGCAGCGATGGGATGCAGAGGGCAGCAGCGATGGGATGCAGAGGGCAGCAGAGATGGGATGCAGAGGGCAGCAGCGATGGGATGCAGAGGGCAGCAGAGATGGGATGCACAGGGCAGCAGCGATGGGATGCAGAGGGCAGCAGAGATGGGATGCAGAGGGCAGCAGAGATGGGATGCAGAGGGCAGCAGAGATGGGATGCAGAGGGCAGCAGAGATGGGATGCAGAGGGCAGCAGAGATAGGATGCAGAGGGCAGCAGCGATGGGATGCAGAGGGCAGCAGCGATGGGATCCAGAGGGCAGCAGAGATGGGATGCAGAGGGCAGCAGAGATGGGATGCAGAGGGCAGCAGCGATGGGATGCAGAGGGCAGCAGAGATGGGATGCAGAGGGCAGCAGCGATGGGATCCAGAGGGCAGCAGAGATGGGATGCAGAGGGCAGCAGAGATGGGATGCAGAGGGCAGCAGCGATGGGATGCAGAGGGCAGCAGAGATGGGATGCAGAGGGCAGCAGAGATGGGATGCAGAGGGGCAGAGATGGGATGCAGGGGCAGCAGCGATGGGATGCAGAGGGCAGCAGCGATGGGATGCAGAGGGCAGCAGCGATGGGATGGCAGAGGGCAGCAGAGATGGGATGCAGAGGGCAGCAGGATGGGATGCAGGAGGGGCAGCAGAGATGGGATGCAGAGGGCAGCAGAGATGGGATGCAGAGGGCAGCAGAGATGGGATGCAGAGGGCAGCAGCGATGGGATGCAGAGGGCAGCAGCGATGGGATGCAGAGGGCAGCAGCGATGGGATGCAGAGGGCAGCAGCGATGGGATGCAGAGGGCAGAGAGATGGGATGCAGAGGGCAGCAGAGATGGGATGCAGAGGGCAGCAGCGATGGGATGCAGAGGGCAGAGATGGGATAAGCAGAGGGCAGAGAGATGGGATGCAGAGGGCAGCAGCGATGGGATGCAGAGGGCAGCAGCGATGGGATGCAGAGGGCAGCAGAGATGGGATGCAGAGGGCAGCAGCGATGGGATGCAGAGGGCAGCAGAGATGGGATGCAGAGGGCAGCAGAGATGGATGCAGAGGGCAGCAGAGGATGGGATGCAGAGGGCAGCAGAGATGGGATGCAGAGGGCAGCAGAGATAGGATGCAGAGGGCAGCAGCGATGGGATGCAGAGGGCAGCAGCGATGGGATCCGAGGCAGCAGAGATGGGGATGCAGAGGGCAGAGAGATGGGATGCAGAGGGCAGCAGCGATGGGATGCAGAGGGCAGCAGAGATGGGATGCAGAGGGCAGCAGCGATGGGATGCAGAGGGGCAGCAGAGATGGGATGCAGAGGGCAGCAGAGATGGGAGCAGAGGGCAGCAGCGATGGGATGCGAGGGCAGCAGAGATGGGATGCAGGGGCAGCAGAGATGGGATGCAGAGGGCAGCAGAGATGGATGCAGAGGGCAGCAGCGATGGGATGCAGAGGGCAGCAGCGATGGATGCAGAGGCAGCAGCGATGGGATGCAGAGGGCAGCAGAGATGGGATGCAGAGGCAGCAGCGATGGGATGCAGAGGGCAGAGAGGGCAGCAGAGATGGGATGCAGAGGGCAGCAGCGATGGGATGCAGAGGGCAGCAGCGATGGGATGCAGAGGGCAGCAGCGATGGGATGCAGAGGGCAGCAGAGATGGGATGCAGAGGGCAGCAGCGATGGGATGCAGAGGGCAGCAGAGATGGGATGCAGAGGGCAGCAGAGATGGGATGCAGAGGGCAGCAGAGATGGGATGCAGAGGGCAGTAGAGATGGGATGCAGAGGGCAGCAGAGATGAGATGCAGAGGGCAGCAGAGATGGGATGCAGAGGGCAGCAGCGATGGGATGCAGAGGGCAGCAGCGATGGGATGCAGAGGGCAGCAGAGATGGGATGCAGAGGGCAGCAGCGATGGGATGCAGAGGGCAGCAGAGATGGGATGCACAGGGCAGCAGCGATGGGATGCAGAGGGCAGCAGAGATGGGATGCAGAGGGCAGCAGAGATGGGATGCAGAGGGCAGCAGAGATAGGATGCAGAGGGCAGCAGCGATGGGATGCAGAGGGCAGCAGCGATGGGATCCAGAGGGCAGCAGAGATGGGATGCAGAGGGCAGCAGAGATGGGATGCAGAGGGCAGCAGCGATGGGATGCAGAGGGCAGCAGAGATGGGATGCAGAGGGCAGCAGCGATGGGATCCAGAGGGCAGCAGAGATGGGATGCAGAGGGCAGCAGAGATGGGATGCAGAGGGCAGCAGCGATGGGATGCAGAGGGCAGCAGAGATGGGATGCAGAGGGCAGCAGAGATGGGATGCAGAGGGCAGCAGAGATGGGATGCAGAGGGCAGCAGCGATGGGATGCAGAGGGCAGCAGCGATGGGATGCAGAGGGCAGCAGCGATGGGATGCAGAGGGCAGCAGAGATGGGATGCAGAGGGCAGCAGCGATGGGATGCAGAGGGCAGCAGAGATGGGATGCAGAGGGCAGCAGAGATGGGATGCAGAGGGCAGCAGCGATGGGATGCAGAGGGCAGCAGCGATGGGATGCAGAGGGCAGCAGCGATGGGATGCAGAGGGCAGCAGAGATGGGATGCAGAGGGCAGCAGCGATGGGATGCAGAGGGCAGCAGAGATGGGATGCAGAGGGCAGCAGAGATGGGATGCAGAGGGCAGCAGAGATGGGATGCAGAGGGCAGTAGAGATGGGATGCAGAGGGCAGCAGAGATGAGATGCAGAGGGCAGCAGAGATGGGATGCAGAGGGCAGCAGCGATGGGATGCAGAGGGCAGCAGCGATGGGATGCAGAGGGCAGCAGAGATGGGATGCAGAGGGCAGCAGCGATGGGATGCAGAGGGCAGCAGAGATGGGATGCACAGGGCAGCAGCGATGGGATGCAGAGGGCAGCAGAGATGGGATGCAGAGGGCAGCAGAGATGGGATGCAGAGGGCAGCAGAGATGGGATGCAGAGGGCAGCAGAGATGGGATGCAGAGGGCAGCAGAGATAGGATGCAGAGGGCAGCAGCGATGGGATGCAGAGGGCAGCAGAGATGGGATGCAGAGGGCAGCAGAGATGGGATGCAGAGGGCAGCAGCGATGGGATGCAGAGGGCAGCAGAGATGGGATGCAGAGGGCAGCAGAGATGGGATGCAGAGGGCAGCAGCGATGGGATGCAGAGGGCAGCAGAGATGGGATGCAGAGGGCAGCAGAGATGGGATGCAGAGGGCAGCAGAGATGGGATGCAGAGGGCAGCAGAGATGGGATGCAGAGGGCAGCAGAGATGGGATGCAGAGGGCAGCAGAGATGGGATGCAGAGGACAGCAGAGATGGGATGCAGAGGGCAGCAGAGATGGGATGCAGAGGGCAGCAGAGATGGGATGCAGAGGGCAGCAGCGAGGGGAGTGCAACGGCAGGAATGCGGCGTAATGTGACATTGGGAATGCGACGCGGATGGGCATGGGGTGCGCGACGGAGAGAGGCGACGGGAAAAGGCGAGGCGAGTGAGACGGCGGGAATGCAGCAAGGATGGCATGACGCGCGGGGCGAGCTCACAAGGCGGGGAAAGGCGAGGTGGGCACGATGCTTGCAGGGCAGCGCGCATGGCATGGGGCGCACGACGGAGGGAGGCAGAATGTAGGGAGGATGGGTGGGGGAATGGGAGGCGAGCTAGGGATGACAGCAAGGGAGGGGAGCTTGGGAGCAGCGGGCGGGGTGAGGAAACAAGAGACGGGCACGGGAGCAGGAGTTGGGTCATGAAAGCAAGGGCAAGGGGTGGGAGGGGAGTTAGGGAATGAAAGCAAGTGCTGGAGATGGGAGCCGGGGTAGGGGGTGGGAGCAAGGGGAGGGGATAGGAGTAGCGGGGAGGAATGGAGGGAGACGGAGTGGAGTTGCTAGGGAAATGGTGAGGAGGAGAGGGGGAAACGGATAGAAAGGGGGGGAGGGACGGATAGAGGAGAGGGGGTGGTAAAACAGGGAGGGCGAGAGGGGAAATGGGCGAGGAGAGGGGGGGGGAATGTCGAGGAGGAAAGGAGCAAACGGAAGCTGAGAGGAGGAAAGGGGCAAACAGAGAGGAGGAAAGGGGCAAACAGAGAGGAGGAAAGGGGCAAACAGAGAGGAGGAAAGGGGCAAACTGAGAGGAGGAAAGGGGCAACCAGAGAAGAGGAAAGGGGCAAACAGAGAGGAGGAAAAGGGCAAACAGAGAGGAGGAAAGGGGCAAACAGAGAGGAGGAAAGGGGAAAACAGAGAGGAGGAAAGGGGCAAACATAGAGGAGGAAAGGGGCAAACATAGAGGAGGAAAGGGGCAAACAGAGAGGAGGAAAGGGGCAAACAGAGAGGAGGAAAGGGGCAAACAGAGAGGAGGAAAGGGGCAAACAGAGAGGAGGAAAGGGGCAAACAGAGAGGAGGAAAGGGGCAAACAGAGAGGAGGAAAGGGGCAAACTGAGAGGAGGAAAGGGGCAAACAGAGAGGAGGAAAGGGGCAAACTGAGAGGAGGAAAGGGGCAAACAGAGAGGAGGAAAGGGGCAAACAGAGAGGAGGAAAGGGGCAAACAGAGAGGAGGAAAGGGGCAAACAGAGAGGAGGAAAGGGGCAAACTGAGAGGAGGAAAGGGGCAAACTGAGAGGAGGAAAGGGGCAAACAGAGAGGAGGAAAGGGGCAAACAGAGAGGAGGAAAGGGGCAAACAGAGAGGAGGAAAGGGGCAAACATAGAGGAGGAAAGGGGCAAACAGAGAGGAGGAAAGGGGCAAACTGAGAGGAGGAAAGGGGAAAACAGAGAGGAGGAAAGGGGCAAACAGAGAGGGCGAGTGGGGGAATGGGCGAGGAACCGCGACGGGGAGGGGATTGGGGTGGCGACGAGGGGAAGGGAGTAGAGCGACGGGGGGAAGGGAGTCGGGCGACGAGAGGAGACGCGCGACTTGGGTAAGGGAGAAGCGCGACGAGGGCCGCGGAGAAGCACGAGGGGAAGGGAGAAGGGCGACGAGGGGAAGGGAGAGGAGTGGCTCACGGGATGTTGGATGCGATGCGACTGGTAAGGCAGGCGCTAGAAATGTACAATGCGCGCGGTTTCCCTGGGAAACGCCCGCAACGCCCGCAAATTCGCCTGGCGTTGTGAGAGTTTTCGTGCTAGCGTAAGAATGCGGCTTAGCATGCTCCACTGTGCCAACGCTAAAAAAAACCGGCCCCGCGGGTTGTTTTCAGGGTAATTTGCTGACAGATCAGCAACATTGAGCTGCTGATCTGTACGATTACGATTTGTTCTCGCAACCTAGAAACGTCATCTTTCTAATCTGACGCATTACGAGCAGTTCTCAGACATGAACATTAGCGTGGTTTTCTGATCTGAACGGTGGGTGGCTCGTTTTCAGTACTTTCGCGGAGACACATCGGCACATCGCGTTTCAGCCAGCAATACACATCAGAATTCGTTTCGGCACATCTCGTTTCAGCCCCTCCTGACGCGGAATACACCTGTTATTCTGTATTCATTGTAAACATACTCGCTTGAAAATCTAAATCATTTCGATACGTTAAAAAACCAGTTGCGCAGCTCAATTATACCTGAATGAAATATCATGCTCCCTTTTTCAAGCGTGAATATTCCAGAAAATACAATTGGACAATGTGCTTTCTATACACTTATTTGGAGCAAACTGTTGGGCTGAGAAAAGCCCTTAGGATCTATCATAGATTAAGTTGTCAAACATGTGTATTTGTCATGTTTGTATAGACTGTATACGGTAGCCTCTTAGAGGGTACAACACTTAGGTATATCTGTGTGTACCCTCTCTCTAACATCATTCACTTCTTCAATTTCTGATATGGTATCACGCGTAGGTAGGATCTATCAAAATAGGAATTGGATTATTGTGTAAAGTGAGAGTACACACAAATATACCTAAGTGTTGTACCCTCTAAGAGGTAACCCTATACAATCTATACAAACATGACAAATACAGATGTTTGACACACCCCCTAGACTGCATAGGGGAATACCCTAAACAAGCAGCTCAGGGCGGCACTACTAGTCCAACCTCTGAGACAAGGGTCTGAGAGACCAGTCAGAAGGAGTACAGACAAGGCAAGAACAAGAGCAGGGCGGCACTACTAGTCCAGCCACTGGGAGAGGACACAAGTCCAGTCTGAGAATACATATAAAGGACACTACAAGTCAAGGTCCTAGCAAGTGAGAAGCGACAGGAACTAGACCAAGCTGTACACAGTGCCGCTGATGATCTTTAGGCGCAAGCGCCTTCGTAAAGATATCAGCTGTGTTGGCTCCTGAGGCCAAGTGTACTACGCGAGCCTGACGTCGCTGCTGTAGCTCACGCAGGAGGAAGTACCGCAACTGAATGTGCTTCGCTCTGCCCTCGAGTCGAGGCTCCTGACACAGGAGGATCATGGCCCTGTTGTCAGCGAACAGGACCGGGGCAGAGCTAGGCCGCTCACCTAAGTCAGTGAGCAAGAAGGTCAGCCAGCGGAGCTCCTGTGCCGCCATGGCACCAGCGTAGATCTCAGCCTCACAGCTGGACTGCGCCACAGACGAGGAGCGGGTAGCTCTCCACGAGACGGCACCTGAGCCAAGGCTGAAGCAGTAGCCCTGGGTAGACCTGAGTGTCTCGGCGTCGTCTGCCCACGAAGCGTCTGTGTGTCCAGTAAGGACCACTGGCCTGCGTCCTCCAAGCACTAACCCCATGCCCGATGTACTAGCAAGATAACGCAGAACCCTCTTAGCGGCAGACTAGTGCTACGGTCGGTGTCTGCCTGTGGCCACAAAACGAGCCAGGATGCTGAGAGGGTATGCGAGATCTGGGCGAGTGCAAGTCATCAGGTACATGAGGCAACCCACCAGCTCTGCGTAGGGGCCACTGGGCTCTACCAACTCCTCAGACATTGGAGCGGAGAGCCTATGGTCTACAGGCAGAGGGGTGGGCTGTGCAGAGGAGAACTGAAGGCTGAACCTCTGAAGGACCTGGCGCACCAAGTGTGACTGAGTCAGGGTGATGGTGCGCGCAGCTCTGTCCCTGGAGATCTGCAAGCCAAGGTAACGGCGCAGTTCTCCAAGGTCAGTGCAGGTGTGTCTCTTCAGCAGCTCTGCCTTCACGGAGGCCAGTGCGTCCCTGTCTGCTGTGGCAAAGACCAGGTCGTCGACGTAAACAAGGATGTAGAACGGAGTCTGGCCAGCACGAACGAAGAGTGAAGGGTCTGCGGAAGACGGAAAGAACTGCAGGTCAGCAAGGGTAGCACGAAGAGTGTCGTGCCACTCACGGGGAGCCTGGCGCAGGCCGTAGACGGGGCGCCGCAGGAGCCACTGGGTCCCAGGAGGGAAGGTGCCACTAAAGCCCGGAGGGCGACGCAGGTAGACCTGCTCGTGTAGGCTGCCCTGAAGGAAGGCAGTGGAGAAGTCGAGGGAGTGAAGCTCGTAGTCACGCTGAGCAGCTAGGTAAAACAGAACCCGAAGAGTAGTCATCTTCGGGGTCGGAGCGAAAGTCTGGAAGAAGTCCACCCCCTCGCGCTGACTGAAGCCTCTAGCCACATAGCGCGCCTTGAACACAGGCGGCTCTCCAGGAGGGCGCTTCACCTTGAAGAGCCAGCGGCCATCGACTACGTTCACCCCAGGTGGGGGAACTGCGTCGACGAAGGTGCCGGTGGATCTCCAAGATGCCATCTCCTGCTCCATGGCAGCTATCCACTGCGAGGCCCAGGGTCCCGAAGTCGCCTCAGCGTAAGTGCGAGGGGTCGGGATGTCGAAAGCGTCTGGGTCACCCTCAGGGACTAGCAGCATGGAACAGAGATGGGGAGCAGCCTCGGAGAGGAAAGCAAGCTCGAACTGGCGGTCCTCCAGGACGTCACTGCCAAGGGCAGGAGCACCCCCGACAGACGGAGGATAGGCAGGGTCAGAGACCAGAGCGGTGGCGTAGTCAAGGCGGCGGGTAGAGGCGAAGTCAGCGACAGCAGCGACAAGAGCGTCAAGGCACGAGACCGGAACAGACGGGTCGGTAACGAGAGAGGCAAGGACCCGAGGAACGAGAGGACGAGCGGCACGAAGGTAGTCGGACAGCGGGGGGGGCGCAGCAACAAGGGAGGACGGAGGAGGCGACGGGAGAAGGGGAGGACGAGACGCGTGGGAACGAAGCAACATAGGGTGGGAGCGCAAGACAGGCGAGGCAGGACGAGCACGGGAGGGGCGGTGAGACCAGACGTGCGACGGAGGAGTCGGGTCAGGAGACAGGGGAGGGGACACAGGAGGGGAACGAGGGGGGAGACGAGCCGGGGACGAGTCCGGCGGAGGGAAAACAGGGCCCGAGAGAGGAAGAGGAGGAGACGGTCAGGGAGGAACCGACGCAGGGTCGGGGAACGGCAGGCCGAGCAGGCGAAGGGCGGACACCGGCGGGGACTGCTGCTGCGGCGGCTCAACGGCGACACCTGGACCGCAAGCTGCTCCTCGGCTACCACCGGCACTCTCCACACCAGCACCCCCAGAGGGACCACCCCCAGGGCGACCGGGACGAGCACCCCCAGAGTCAGCGAACGGGGGCTGCGACGGCGGCGGCGGCGGCGGCGGAGGCGACGGCGGCGGCGGCGGCGGCGACGACGACGGCTGCAGCAGCGGCAGTGGCGGTGGAGGAGGGGACTGGGGAGGGGACACCTGGGGAGGGGCGGCCGGCGAGGACTGCACAGGAGGGCCACCAGAGTCAGAAGACTCCTCAACCGGGTCCACGGACGGAAGGGGGGTGACGTGGGACACACCAGAGGGGGCGGGACGAGGAGGAGGAGGGGCAGGGACTACCGGGGAAGGGGTGACCAGGAACAAGGGGGGGGTAACCGGGGGACCACGGTGGGGAAAGCGGCGGTAGTAGGAGACAGACTCGTCAAAGGTGATGTCACGAGAGTGAAAGAAGCGGTGAGACGGCGGGTGGTAAAAGTGCCAGTCGGACGCGTCAAGGGGAAAACCGAGGAAGACGCAGGGAAGGGTGCGGGCAGTGAGCTTATCCGTTCCGGAGGCACGGACGTGAGCAAGGCAGCCCCAGATGTGGAACGCAGACGCGTCACCAGGAGACCCAGTCCAAAGACGGGTCGGTGAAACCTGCGGCTGCTGAGGGTGCGGCCACAAGTTAAGCTGGTGAGAAGCGTAGCGCACAGCGAACGGCCACAGAAAATGGGGTGCACCGGCATGGATCATGGAGGTGCGAGCGACCTCCATGACCAAACCGATGCGTCGCTCAGCGACCCCATTCTGCTGTGGGGAGTCTGGTAGGGTGAACGTCTGGGTGATGCCCTCCGCACGACAAAAGCAACCAAGGACATCGGAGGCAAACTCGCCACCACGGTCTGAGTGAAGACGCAAGACAGGGAGACCGCGGTGGACACGCGCAGAGACAAGCCAGGGGATGAGAGCGCCAGGCACGTCGGCCTTGCGCTCCAGGGGAAAGACTGTGGTGTAACGAGTGAAGTCGTCGACAAGCACAAGGAAGTAGCGCTCTCGACGCGGCCCAGGGACCTGGGCGGGGCCCCAGACGTCCAGGTGCAGGGTCTGCAGCGGCGCGGCAGTAGGGGGAAACGAGGAGGAGTGAGGGGCACGGCGAAGCCGACCCTCGACACAAGGCGTGCAAGGTGGGGCTGGAGAGGAGGGAAACGCGGGGAGCGAACCTGGGAGACCAAGGACGAGACCGTGCTGAGACATGTGACGCAGACGCGGGAGCGCAGGGTGACCTAGGCGGTGGTGCCACAGGAGGGTCGGGTGAGTGAGGGAGCGACAGGAGCAGGCAGCAGCAACCTGGGTAGACGCAGCCACCTGAGGGGGCGCTCCAGCCGGGGGGGTCACGGTGTCCAGAGTGAACAGGCCGGACACCGGGTCCCGGGGGGCGCGACGGGGCGCTACGGGGCCTGGGAGGAGCGCGACGGGGCCCAGGAGGGGCGCTAGGGGGCCTGGGGGGAGCGCGACGGGGCCTGGGAGGAGCGCGACGGGGCCCAGGAGGGGGCGCTAGGGGGCCTGGGAGGAGCGCGACGGGGCGCTACGGGGACTGGGAGGAGCGCGACGGGGCCCAGGAGGGGCGCTAGGGGGCCTGGGAGGAGCGCGACGGGGCCTGGGAGGAGCGCGACGGGGCCTGAGAGGGGCGCTAGGGGGCATGAGCGGAAGCGGTAGGTGGGGGGGGGGGGGATCCTACCTACGCGTGATACCATATCAAAATAGGAATTGGATTATTGTGTAAAGTGAGAGTACACACAAATATACCTAAGTGTTGTACCCTCTAAGAGGTAACCCTATACAGTCTATACAAACATGACAAATACAGATGTTTGACAGGATCCCCCCCCCCCCACCTACCGCTTCCGCTCGCCCCCCCCCGGCCCTGTCGCGCCCTGCCCGGCCCCGTCGCCCCCTGCCCGGCCCCGTCGCCCCTGCCTGGCCAGGTCGCACCCGCCTGGCTCCGCCGCACCAGCCCGGCCCCGTCGCGCTCGCCCGGCCCCGTCGCACCCGCCCGGCCCCGTCGCCCTCTCCCGGCCTTGTCGCACCGGCCCGGCCCCGTCGCGCCCACCCGGCCCTGTCGCGCCTGCCCGGCCCCGTCGCACCCGCCCAGCCCAGTCGCACTGGCCCGGCCCTGTCGCACCCGCCCGGCCCCGCCGCACCAGCCCGACCCCGTCGCGCTCGCCCGGCCCCGTCGCGCCCGCCCGGCCCCGTCGCCCTCGCTCGGCCCCGTCGCACCGGCCCGGCCCCGTCGCGCCCGCCCGGCCGCGTCGCGCCCGCCCGGCCCCGTCGCACCCGCCCGGCCCCGTTGCCCCGGCCCGGCCCCTGCGCTCGTCCCTGCCTCGGCCCCCCTTCCCCCCTCACTGGTACGGTTCCCCCCCCCCCCCCCCCCCCCCCCCACACCACACTGTACTGCCCTGCACCGCACTGCACTGCACTGCACTGCACCGCACTGGACCGCACTGCATTGCACTCCACCTTGCTGCA